TAAAATTACAATATACAATAATCTTAAATAAATAGAGAATAAATAGATCCAAGGATAGATGCTAAAATTGGCAGTCACTCACAATTATCCTCTCTGCACTCCCAAATTCTGAGTTACAGCTTTCAGCCTCAAAATGGGCCAGAATCATGTTGACATGATGGTTGTGCCATAACATGTTTATAAAGATACAGAGTTTATATTAAGTTGCATTCAAAACCCCATGCAAAGTTTTGTGTGGATTTTTTTTAAAAAAACAGCCCCTTCAAAAGTATGTGAAACAGGATGGAACTGGCTTAAAAGTGAACCCAACATGCAGTGAAATACATACCTGACTTGGACCATGTGAAACAGACAAGGATTGCCTCTATATGGGGCCTCACCACATTTCATACTTTCAACCCCCAGTCCAACTCAAGCGTCTGGTTGTTTCTCCAGCTGCAAATCACTTGGGTTTCCATTTCAGGGAGCAAAAATACTTAGCCCTGTTCTTGTGTAGTTGTAAAAAAAATTAATAGGCTTGGCAATCATCGCCATGTCATCAATGATGACATGATAACTTCTCCCACATGCTGCCTGACCCTCCTTACACCTGGACAAATTGGGAAATACTATGTAGGGGAAGAAAAAAATGCTAGTTATTGAAAGGCCTCATGAGCAACGAAGCAAAACATGACCTCAGATACCACAGAGATATTTCTAAAGTTATGGGTCATAAAAATTAACAAGTGGTTGAGCCCCACCCCTTCCCATCCAAGGCTTGCCCTAACTTTCTGTAAACAAAATTTTCCACTCTGCAAACTGCTTTGGGGAGTTATACACCTGCTTCCAAAGTATTTTCTGAGAGATTTACTACTGCTGTGGCTGTTACTACAGGCCAGTAGGAATCTAGAGTTCTACTACCAGAAAATAGCATAAGGAATTCTGAAAATGTGATGTATAGATTCTGCAAATAGCCACTGAACTGTTCAGCTGACAAGGTTTGATACCAGCATTTAATGAAGAATCTTTCTCTCCTTAAGGTTGGTCAAAGACATTTGTTACCTGGCAGGTGCAGGCCTGTGGAGTCCTTGGTACTCTCTGAACTTGGTTGTTTGCATGCAGACGTTTCATTACCCATCTAGGTAACATCATCAGTGCTAGTGGGTGTGGAGTTTGCAAACCTCACACTCACTAGCACTGATGATGTTACCTAGATGGATAATGAAGCATCTGCAAGCAAACAACCAAACTCAGAAAGCACCAAGGACTCCACAGTTCAACCCTGAGTATATATATTCTCTTCTATTGGATATGCAGGCTTTCCCCCTTGCCAATTTATAGCACTTTACACCCATCCTTGAATTAAAACGACACTTGCTTTCCTGGGGCTGAGCCTCATCCTGCCTCTATGGCCTCTGTTCCCAGACACTGCCAGTCCTCTGATTTTCCTCCAAAGCAATCAGTGACAAAGGTAAACTGATTTTGCATAACTTAAGGCTGCCCTGGAATGGTACTGGAATAATTGGGAAAACACTATTTTAATACTGGTATAGCTAAGGATGACTTTTTCCTGTGGGATGAATAACAGAAGGTGACTTCATGGGAAAAAGAGACTCAGAGTGCATATTTGTGCCACTGTTAGCTGCAAACAGGGACATGGCTTTCTATTCTCAAAAGAAGTAACACATTCATCTTTATTCTTATTAGTGCTTTCATGCCATAATCACTCTTTGAGCATTCCTCCATTCCTCTTAAACTGACACATCTTCAACTAGTTAATCCTTAATAGGATGAAAAATGGAATCTAGTGCCTTCCTATTGACATCGGCCTTGGCGGCTGGAGCTCAATGGCATTGGAATCTAAAACATCTGAAGGACATCAGGTTGCAATCTAACATCTCAGAGAGGACATCCTTGTCACGTTTCCAGGCAAGTGAATCCCAGTTAAACGTGGCTGCTGTACTTTTAACTGATCTATACGAGGGGAGAAGACAGAGAGAGCTTCAACCTCACCTGGAGAACCAGCTATGTGTGTGAAAACTCCTTCTGTTTGAAGGAGGGGACACATAGGGGACATATAGCTCTCCTTTGCCCCTGGATCCTCCTTCTTTGTTCTACTCTGTAAGCGTTGCATCCATTCTATCCCTTCCCAGATAGCGCTATTTCAATCTGTTCCAGAGAAAACCAGCCAAGGTTCCCAGGCACCACCTTAGTAATGGATGGGTTGGTTGCATCACCCTCTGCTTTCCTTCTGCAGCTGCCAAGCAGGTTTTAGGCTAAGCTGGCTCTCTCAATCAGATGGGACTGAGACGCAGAACTAGGAGTGTACAGTTTACCAAGCCAAGCCAGAGAACGGGACAGACTGGAGAGGTGAGAAACAAGACAATGAAGGCAGCCCCAGCATCAAGCATCCTCCTGCTTGCCTTGTTGACCACAGGTGGGTTGTTGTCACGGGAACTCCTTGCTACAGTGAATAATCTTTTATCCCTTCTGCTAGGAAAGGTCATTATATATGTGTGTGTGTGTGTATAATATTTTTATTAAACTTTATTAAAATTTAAAATTTAAAAATGCAAAGATAAAAAGCTAATACAAATTAAGAAAAATATAAAAAAATAAATAATTCAAAATAATTAAGTGGTGAGGGGTTTTTTGGTTTTTTTCTAAAGGAAGGGTCATTCTGATTTCCAGCTCCCTGGGTTGGGTGATCAAATGCAACAGAGGCACAGCTCCTAAATCTTAGGGAGGAGATACAATTTCAGCAGGTGTTAGCTTGTCCCGTCCCTCCAGTGGAGGGTGGAGAAAAACTCCATTTGCCCAAATTCTCTCTTGGATGCAACCAGTAAAGGAAATACTCTCCTTTGCATCTATGACAGCATGATTCTGCATACTAATTCTAGAATAGGAGGATTTGAATCTGCCTCCAACTCATGCTGTAATGACTGCACACTGTTCTCATCTTAAAGC